GTAATACTAACTAAAGATTTTCCAGCACCACATGGAAGAACAATCAAACCAGATCGTGCACATCCATTATTAAACATATTTTGTTAAACTTTTTTCTTGATATGATCGTAAAATAGCATTAGATCGTAGTTCAATATTTAAATTTTTCAATATCGTATCATGATGATAATCATATTTATCAAGTAATAGATATTCCAATTCTTGACATCATTTTCGTACAAGTTCTATTTTATTTAGATTAACTTCAAATGAAACAATTTTTAAATCTTCAATATCTTCATCATTATGATCGATTTTTTCTGAAGATCATGCTCATGTTACTATCAAATTATCGGCTTATGCAGATTATATGTGTACTATTGCTTTAAATGAGAATGATGAGCGTGAAACACAAGCAATGTTTGCCTTGTACAACAAGGCATCTGGTGGTAAAACGGACAAGGAAAAAACATCAATTTTTTGGATTAGTGATTGGCTTAACCCGCCTTCTTTCCAATCCAAAGTTTAACGTAAATATTGTACCTTCTTAGGTGTCCCAATTGATACGAAAAGTAAAATGCCAGCAGGTGAATTAACCAAAATTATTTCAAATATTAGAAAGCACATGGGTTTGTGGTCAATAGTTAAATTTCCCGAAGAAAATCATTGAAAATGTACAGAAAGATATTAACAATTTCTTCTGGAATAACAAACACCCAATGATGAATCTTTATACATGTGTTGGAAAAAAAGGTAGTGGAGGTTTTGCACTGCCACACCTGAATACAATGATTATTTCCTACCGAATTAAATGTGGTTTAAGAACAATTAATATGGTACCCAAGATATTGAAATTTTATGCTTATCAGCACGTTGGTATCCAATTACGTACATTTGCACCATGGATTTGGACGAATTTAGTGCCTCATTTTAATCATGATGATAATTTCTTTGCTGATGTTGCATGCCACACTGCGAAATGGATTAATAAAACTGGTGCATTAACAATTGATGATAGTAAACAGTCACTTTATTGGCAATTAATTAATCTCTATATATTCCGTCCACCTGCATGCTATCAACGTTTTTCTTTCTTGAAGAACATTCCTTTTTTTCAAATGATTCACAATTGTATGTTGCCAACAGTGATAGTAGAATTCTGAATTTTATTGGCAAATTACGGAATAAATACACGTGATAGACTTGTAAAAACTGCAGACGATAAGAAATGCTTGTTTTGCAACTTACCAGAAACAACTACTCATATTTTTATTTAATGTTTTTTATTGCGAAAGTTTTCTTTATGTTGGTTAACTACGTGAAAAATTTATTTCACCAATCACATCAAGTAAGATTCGGAAACAAATAACATATACTGTTGGAAATTATTTATATTCGATTTGGTCATACCGGTGTATTAAAAGCAATGGTGCTGCTACCGAGTCTTATGGATGCAAGAAGATCTTCGCGGCTGGTATGAAATATTTATCTTATAACACTGGATAATTATTGTGTGCTCGCAATTATGAACAAAATTAGTTTTAAAGCAATTTATGTTCCTTCTTATTCCTGAACTTATAGAATAATTAGCTATACGACATTTTAATGCTGATCATTTTTATGATTTACTTAATGATGCTAATATCAATGCAGCATCAACAATTCTCTTTTATCATCAAACAAAAATTATTTATCTTATTGATGGTTTTAATCGAAATGTTTTATTACGGAAAATTAAATTATAGATAAATACAATTAGTGTTGTACAAGCAACAGAAATAAAATCTGATGATAGTTCAACATCAAATCATGTTAAAATAAAATAAAACAATTACTTAATTCATCACCAATTATTTTATTCTGAAAGGTACATCAGCCAGTCCATAATGTGATTTGATCGACAGTCATGCCATTTACTTGATGAACATCAAATGAAATATGATTATTTTCATGTACTTGGTGTTGAAAATGAACGTCAAGAATTGAAAATATTCAATTGGAATATTTATCCACAATTATATGTTGACAGTGAATTCATTGGTGGATTAAATGTAAGGAAACAAATGATTGAGAATGGAGATTTTAAGGTTTAAATTACAACAACAGGGAAAAAATGAACAAAAATAATATGGAAAATAATTAGTGAAGATGTTCGACAAAATTGAAAGAATACTCATCATGGCAGACACATCCACAATATATGTTAACGGACAGTTTCTCGGTTTTTAGATATACTTTCACAATGGATGAAGAACGAACATTAGTACAAACATTAACTGAAAAACAAGAAGAGCTTTCACTATTCGATTTCATAAGGTGCAAATCTATTAGTATATTTTTTTCCTTTTCCTTTTACTGTTGTTATTCCAAAATAAACGATTCAAAGAAAAAAATAAAACTCTGATCAAATACATGTTGCGATGGCGAAAACATGCGGGTTGGTGGCAACACTAGTCTGCCAGAGCAACACTTTTTTAATAATATAAAGAAAGCAAAGGAGAGGTGTAACTTTCATGATGTTTTTTCGAAGAGAAAAAGCAGAGGTAGTGCACTGTTTCTTCATGCAGAAAAATTTACCTCGGAAAGGCACGTATGAATCTGTAGTTGGTCAAGTTTCAAGAGATTTGTTTTCGCCACCCATCGTGAGTTGAAACGAATCCTAATGTTGGAACTGAGTGAAAAATTTCATTTTTATTTTAGAGAAATGGTCGGATACTACAACAAGAGCTTTTTTAACTTGAACATTTTAGTTTTTCATGCATATGGATAGTATGATTTTTATTAGAGCATGATACTCTGATATTTACTTTCTTTTCATTTCTGATAAGTGTTGCTCTGGTAGGTTAGTGTTATCATCATCTGGCACAATTTCGTCATCGCAACATGTATTTGATTAGATTTGTTTTCTTTGGTTTCTAAGACTATTTTATTGTTGTTCTTGTTTGTATGCCATCAAAGAAAAAGTACAAGACAAATAAATAGTGTTTGAAGGAATGAAGGAATATAGTAATAAATTCATATTCTTCATATACCTACACAGAGATTTTGTTCGTTCAAGAAAGAAAGAAAAGAAAAATCAAAATGTAACGAATGAGGCAGAAATAATGGAGAACTTTTGCATTTATTTTATGCTCATTTAACGCGCTGTATTAAACAAACAAAATATACCACAAGATGCAGTATGAAAAGTTCTGCAATCTGCAAAGTAAAGCTTTTTCTAATTGTGTACTTTTTATTTTGATAAAAAGTAAAATTCTATGCGATCACTGTTAGAGACCTGCACGGAGTCAGTTTCGGAGTCGTGGTCGGAGTCGAA